TGGCTTTGTTGTCGCTCATATGCCAACGGGTCCGCATTGATGACCTGTTCTGGATCGTGCAAATGTTATATAACAAGTATGAATAAGCCTCAACCAACCGCATTTGTGTTCGATCATATGATAAAAAAAAAGCAAAATCCATCCTTTACGTATACATTAGCAAAAGGTCATTCGTTGAGGGTTTCAAGACAGACGCATTTGTAAGCATGTGATGTAATAGGTGGAAACATGACGCGTTTTAAAATGTGGTTGCGCCTTTAAAGATCCCTCTTAGGTTTCTTTTTTATCACACTACGTGGAGAAACAAAGCACTGCCCCATATTCCATTCACTCGTTTTCCAAGAGATATCCCTGGCAGCACAATAGGGGCGAATCCAAACAGTCCATAGCCATTGGACAGAAACAAGTCTTGGAAGCAAAAAAAAGGAATTGGTTTCGTTCCTGGTCATTGAGGGCTTGCTGCGTCCAGGTCACCGTATCAAAAGGTAGACACTATAAACAAGGATCTCTGCAGGATTTCAAAAAGGGCTGGGAGTCTAGGGTCACCCGGGTATCGTTCATGGCGTGACTCAGTGCTTGCTTTTTGGGAATGAGATTGCACAGTTTTTGTCAAGTGTGTAAAATGAAATATAGAGCGGGACTATTAAAACGACCGGAACCAACCAAAACAAACAAAAATCAGGTTAATCTACCAGGGCTTTTGGATACCAGCCAACCAGAAGTACTTCCGATTCCACAAGTTTGCAAGTAGATGTGATACTCATCTGCAGGGTTTGCGGGGGAAATACAATTGTACAGTTCTTTGCATCCAAAAAGATTGCGCCCTAAGGATGAATACGAAGAAGGGCGATCCACCGTGGGACGGGCAATGGGTCATTTAGCCCCCCACTGAAATACCAGCGGCGATTCACAGTGAATAATATCGTTGCTGAGCTGATTCCAAATCCACCCAGTTTCAGCAGTTTTCATAGTGCACTTGCCTGCTCACTTTGCAAACAAGGTGACGGGCTGGTGATGGGCTCGGATGGAGAGGAAGGTAAAAGGGCAGAACTGAGCCGACTGCGGCACTGCGCATGCGAGGTAGTCATCTGACCTAAAAGTGTGAATCTGACGAAAGCTGGGCTGCATGTTGATAAAAAAAAAAGTCAACCCACAAAGCCAGCAAGATCAATCATGTATTGCAAATGCGCAACCAGGACATTGAGGGAATAATAGCACCGCAGTGATTGTATTTCCAACTCTTACTACAGTATTCTTTTTTCCAATGAGAACATTATGCGCATTCCCATTTCAAAAAAGGAACAAAAATCCCATCATCATCCAAGAAACATAATCACAACATAATGCAGGTTCTGAACATGTCAAACAGCAGGCAAAATGATTACCTTCCAAATTTAGCAAAAGCGTTGCATTATTCGCAGAATCGATACTTGGGCAGGTTGGCACGCAGTTCCTCCTAAGTAAAACACAAAACACAACGAATAAAAACGCATGCGGCAAGGGGACAAGGTCGGGATGAAGTAAAAAAAAAAAATAGACAGACCAAATGTCCAAGAAGGAACATAATTGACAGGGTAGATCCAAAACTCACCGGTGAAATCCAAGCATCTGAAAAAAGGATTCGTTCCTGTCGTCCATTTTCTACAACTATTTGCGGTTCACGCCATTCAAGATTTAATTCGGCTGGCGGGGAAGAAAAGGGTTGGGTATATTTCGCGGTAGCTGGGATTTTCCATGGGTGCTTATCGACGGAATGTGTCGAGGAGGACGCGGAAGCGACTGAGGATATCGACGTTGACGACGATGTCTTTCGTATCGTGGGTAACCGCGGGCTGTTTCTTCTATTTGATGCCGAGTCTCTCTCAGAAACGGCAGGGGCAAGAGGGCGACCAGTTCGGTTCTTTCCTCTCAAGAACTTTGGGTTGATTGCAATGCCATTTCCGGTCAGTCCAGACAGGGTACCCTTGCGGGACCGTACAGCTGCCTCAACAACCCTAAGTACTGCATCGTGGGATCCATTCTTTTTTGCTTGGAAAGAAGATGGGGCCGGGGTATGAGTGTCAGAGGTATCTATTTCCATGGGTGATGTTGGGTTTGGATCTACATCAGCAGACTGTACAGTCTCGGACACTTGGTTCTTTGGTAAAGATGCTGTTGGAACCGGTGGGTTACTATCTGAAAGCTGTTCTGACGGACTGGATACCGATGGATTTGCCAAAGTCCAAGAGTCTGGGATGTTCCCATCGCTCAGCGACCGAGCCTATACAAAAAATTAGCCACACACAATCAACCATCCATCGTAAAGTTACAAACACCGTCCATGGGACGTACGGGAATAGTTGTGACAGGCGTAGGGACTTGCTCGTCCTCCGTTAGATCGATAAAGGAGGGTGCGGTGGATTGGCGCGGTAGAGTATGCCGCTGCTGAATTTGCCTGACCACTTCATCTGGATCTCTGTTGAAAATAGATGTCATTCGACTTCTAATGTCGAGATGAGCATCAGGGAGTGGACCACGGTTGCTGTCTCGTAAAGGGGTCTACATGCAGGTTAAAAGGAGGAGTGATCGGTCCATTGGCCCGCTCCCGGCGCAGGAAAGGGTACAATGCCTCTTTCAAATCTGAGCGCCACGTAACAGATGGGGATCAAAGTAATGGTG